TAAACGGATGAACAAAATGTGGTCTATACATACAATGGAACATTATTCAGCCATGAAAAGGCCACCTGTCAGATGCCACCATACGGATGAACCTTGAGGACATGACACTAAGTAAAATAAGCCAGTCACAAAAAAGACACATATTGTATGACTCTACTCATACGAGTTCCTGCGAGTTGTCAAACTCATAGAGATAGAGAGTAGAACGGTGGCTGCCAGGGTCTGGGGGCAGTGGTAGGTAGGGGGAGTTGCTGAATGGATTCAGAGGCAGTGTTTGGGAAGATGAAAGAATTCGGGAGGTTGGCTGCACAGCAACGTGAATAAACTCAACACTACTGAAGTGTACACTCAGGGATGGTTAAGCTGGTAAATTTAATGTTACATGCTTTTTACTACAATTTAAAAGTTTTGCTAATTTTTAAAAATTGCTGACTCTAGGTGGGTGGGTTTAGGTCAGTGGTAGAGCACATGCTTAGCATGTTTAAGGTCCTGGGTTCAATCCCTAGTACCTCCATTTTGAGAGGAAGGAAGGAAGGAAGGAAGGAAGGAAGGAAGGAAGAGAAAGAATTGCCGACTCTCAGTTCTTCAGGGCAGCGACAGCGTCTTGGCCATCTGTAGGTGCCAGGCACCTGGCTCAGGCTCAGGAACGTGGCGAAGACTCAAGGTAAGCTTGCTGAATACTTCACGTGGAGATGACTCAGCACATGAGCACCTACTTGGACAGATGGATAGAGGGGTCTTTCAAGAGGATCGTCTTGAAAGTGTTTTGATGGGTGTGGCAAATGCTCTCGTTAATACATGTCACCTGCACCCACTTCTGGTTTCAGCCACAACTGTGGTGGACAGTGCCATTCTTCCAGACAACATCCCATGTCACACACCAAACTAAGACAGCAGCACCAAGGAAGAAACAGAGCGAGGTCTCCCAAAGAAGAGTAGGTTGCTCACCAGGAGCAAGTGAAAGAAACAAGACCACCCTCCCGGGGCTCTCTGAGTTACCCTACTCACAGCCGCCCCTGATCCAACCATAGAAACAAGCAAGCAAACGTGGGTTCTCCTATTGGCTTTAGTAACAAAACAAGATCAACTACGGAGCCAAATGATTCAGGTATGAATCACTTGGAACAATGCTGGAAACCCTCACATAACAACCAGATTGTTTCCTGGCAAATGTACAGAGGCCAAACGGGGCCATGCCCTTCCAGCTGCAGCGTGGAGACCAGATGTGGGGGAGGACGGACACGGAGCAGCAGGGAACTGGAGCTGGGGGGCGGACGTTAGTCACAATGCAGCCTTTAATAGGGCAGAGCTGCCAGATTTAGCAAGTCAAAAGGCAGGATGCCCGGTTACATTTGACTTTCAGATAAACAACGAGCGATTTTTTCAAAAATATAAGTATGTCTCAGATATTGCACTGGACATAGTGTTTATCTGAAATTCAAATGCAACTGAGCATCCTGTCTTTCATCTGGGGACTCTGGAAAATGGAGAGATTTAGATTCTTGTAACCAGTCTTTTGGAACTAAATTCTGTCTCCTAATCCATCCTCCACAGCAGAATAAGAGCTACACCCAAGATCTGGCAGAATTGACCAGCTTGAACCAGGAACATGTTGAAAACCTAATAGCATCTTCATTGCCAACAGTTATTTTTCCCTAAATTCTTTCAACCAGTATTTACTGAGCATCCATTCTATGCCAGGCACCATGCTAAGTGCCTAGATTACAATCCTAATAGAGCCTTCACAGCAAAAAGCAGAGTCGTGAGGTTAACAGATCAAACAAAGAAAAAGATGCATAAGATTTTTAAACAGATTCGATCAACTCCTTACTGGGCATCTATGGGCATTCAAGACACTGTGTTAGTCTGCACGTAACATAAAATTAACCTTTCTAAAGTGTACGGTTTAGGGAGGGTGGGCAGTGGTAGGTCTAACTCAGTGGTAGACCTCATGCCTAGCATGCAGGAGGTCCTGGGTTCAATCCCCAGTACCTCCATTAAACAATAAGTAAATAAATAAAGTGTACCATTCAGTGACATTTAGTACATTCACAACGTTGTGTGACACCACCTCTATCCAGTTCCAGAACATTTTCATTCCCAAAGAAACTCTGACCATGAAGCCATCATTCCTTCCTTCCTCGTCCAGGCGCTGGCAGTAACCAATCTGCGTTCTGTCTCCGTGGATTTATCTATTCTGCACATTTCACAGGAGTGAAATCATACAGTACGTAACCTTTTGAGTCTGCTTTCTTTCACTGAGCATAATGCTGTCAAAGTTCATCCATCTTGCAGCTTAATTCAGTCCTGCATCCTTCTGTATGGCTGGTTAATACGCCATTGCGTGGCTATACCACTTCTGGTTCACCCACTCATCCACTGACGGACTTCCGGGTTGTGTGCACCTATTGGCTACGGTGAACAGCGCTGCTATGAACATTCATGTACAAGTATTGAGTACCTGTTTTCAATTCTTCTGCATATATCCTCAGAGAAATCTCTGGGTCATATGGTGATTCTGCGTTTAAGTTTCTGAGGAACCATCCAACTGTTTTCTGCGGTGGCTGCACCATTTTACATTCCTACCAGCAATGTAAGGGGGCTCAGCTGCTCCACACCTTTGCCAAAACTTATTTTCCATTTTTGTTTCTTTTTAATGAGTATAGTCATCCTTGTGAGCGTGGAGTCGTAGGCCATTGTGGTTTTGATTTTGATCTGCCCTTCCCTAGTGACCAGTGGTCTTGACTATCCTTTCAAATGCTTGCTGGCCATTCGTATATCTGCTTTAGAAGTGTCTATTCAGGTCCTCTGCCCACATTTTGATTGGGTTGTTTGTCTTTTTTGTATTTGAGCTGTAAGAATTCTTCTCATTTACTATTTTAATAATCCAGAAAGTATAATGCTTTGGCTTCCAAGTTACATCTCACAGAACTGGCTTGCACACTGAGCAAAAGCCCATTAATTTACACTTCAATAGCGGTGGTTCCAGTCCCAGTACACCAGGCAAGTAACCTGAGGCCAAGGTAGCTTCCGTTGTTTTTAACCTTTCTCTTCTTTTTATATAACTAGGAGAGACTTGGAATTTGAACTCACACCCTCAGTCTTTTACAAAAGCTCCCCGAGCGTGTTGTTATGGAGACGGAATGAGATAATATTACGTGCAATTGCTGAGAGCAGCTAGCATAAAGTAATCCTTGCCTAGAACTGCTTCCTTAAAGAGGGCAACGGTCAGTGGTCAGATGTGCTTAGGGAACGTCCAGAAGTCTGACTCCTTAAGGCCAGGCAGCTCCATCAGAGGAATGAGCTGGCTCCGGTCCACATTCACACAACTATAGCCTGCATCCTGGTGTAAGAGCGATTCTAGCTCCGTCTCTACCCTGCATTTGTTTTTGGATACACTCAAGGGCATCCAGACAGGGTCACAACATCCTGTGCCTCTGGCTCCTGAGGCTGTTGTTTTGCAGGAACAAAAACAGCTGAGCTCTGAAAGATGAGACTGACAGGCAAACAGGGACCCGGGCCACTGCACCTGGCTGGGGAGACGCCTGTGAAATCCCATGCTCTAGAAGGCAAAATGTAGGCTCTGGTACAAAGCGCCAGGAAAACAGTTTTCTTAAAAATAAACAGATTCCCAGGAGATCAAGGGTCTGGAGAAATTCCTCTGAGATTCTCACAGGCCCTGTGGATAAACAGTCAGCAACCTTGCAACCAGCGATGGTGACTCATGCCTGCCCCTTCCAAGCATAACACACACCACAGGAGGACACCTCTCTGAAGAGTCACAGTGGTGCTGAAAACTAGGCAAAACGCACATATATGTCATTCCTGCAGCAGGACGACCCTCAGCATCTCCTTTTTAGCATCTTAAAATAGTTATGGAGCCGGGTACTTCCATCCCAGACACAGCATCACTGCTCTGCCCGCCCCGAGGTCCTGCCAACTCTCTCCTTCCTCCTGAAAACACACTGCCTTCACACAGTTGTACCCAGGAGCCTTCCCCGTTAAATGGTCATCAGGAAGAAATAACATTTTGAAACATTCTTTGAGGTATGATGCATATTTACATGGAATATTACTCAGCCATAAAAAAGTGAAATAATGCCACTTGCAGCAACATGGCTGGACCTAGAGATTATCATATTAAGTAAAGTAAGTCAGACAGAGAAAGACAAATAGCATATGATATCACTTATATGTGGAATCCTAAAAAAGTGATACAAATGAACTTATTTACAAACTAGAAATAGACTCACCGACATAGAAAACAAACTATGGTTACCAAAGGGGAAGGTGGGGAGGGATAAATTACGAGTTTGAGATTAACATATGCAAAATAGATAACCAACAAGGGCCTACTGTATAGCACAGGGAACTATATTCAATATCTTGTAGTAACCTATAATGGAAAAGAACATGAAAAAGTATATATATATGTATAACTGAATCACTATGCTGTACACCAGATACACAACATCGTGAATCAACTATCTTGAATTTTAAAAAGTAAAAAATAAAAACAGAGTATTAGAAAATGACCCCATAATCCCTCACTCCTAGTATCAAATGATTATTCTGTATAACTTTCTAGTTTTTTGCCAGCTTCAAAGTTAACAGAGTTAACACATGTAAAGTATATATAATTGTGTTTCCCCCCATTACATGCTGCATTGTTTTTATAACTCTATTTTACTTATTACCTCCCTCTGGTTGGATATTTAAGGGGATGGAATGTTCTTGCTACTACAAATATTAGCGAGAGGGTTCGCACCTGTAACAGTCCCAATGTTTTAGATGGTTCACCAAGGTTAGATGCCCAGAAGTGGACAGTACCGCGTCCAGTGATGAGAATATTTTTAAACCTCCCAGTGGAGCCTGGCCTCAACAAAAATACAGATGTACATGGCGCTGTCTTCGCTCTGCTGAGATGCTTCAGATTCCCGCATCCCTTACTACCACCCAAGGCCTGCGCAGACGCAGCGCCACCCGCGCGCATCGCTCACCGTCCCCGCGCGCGCCGCCGCCGCCACCGCGGTGCCCGCTGTTCTGGAGCCGCGGCACCTCCAGCGCCGAGATGCCCGACGGCTCCAGCACGTCCACCTCCACCGTCAGCCGCCCCACCAGCTGCTGGGGCCGCACGCTAACCGCGTGCTCGTACTTCCCCAGCCGCCTCTGCAGGAG